AAAATTAGTCTCGATACGTCGAAATTGTTTATTTTAGTAGAAAAATAAATTAAATAATTAAGTTGTCATCTACCTTTGCGTTTCTGATGGGTCGCACAAATATTGGAAAAAATAATTTTATAAGATGGGATACTTATTTTAGGACAAATAATTTTTTTAAGATGCAACGCATTTTTATATTCCATCTCCTGTTTATATTTTATTGTTGGAACAAAGGATTCAAGAAAGATGAATATTTTGAAAAACAAGAAGAGAGAGAGAGAGAGAGAGAGAGAGAGAGAGAGAGAGAGAGAGAGAGAGAGAGAGAGAGAGAGAGAGAGAGAGAGAGAGAGAGAGAGAGAGAGAGAGAGAGAGAGAGAGAGAGAGAGAGAGAGAAAGAGATTGTTGAGTTAGTTAGTGTAACTAACTCTTAAAACTGAAACTGTTATTATTGTTACTACAGTATTTATTACAAAGTAATGACCCTTTATATAAGCAACATGCCCAGACCCAATTACAAGCTAAAGCCCAAATAACAACTAACAAGAATTAACCAACTAACACACCCCTTAATTCATGTTATCAAGACTTCTCATCTCAATATCTTTCTTTAACTCTTTGAATCTCACTTTCTTCAGATGTTTGGTGAACATGTCAGCTAGTTGCACTTTTGTCTTGCAATGTTCTATTTCAAGCTTCCCTTTGTTTACTTGGTATCTCAGAAAATGATACCTTCATTCAATGTGTTTACTTCGACCATGACACATTGGGTGATTCACAAGATTTATTACTAACTTGTTATCAAAAAACAGCTTCATCTTCGATTCCATTATTCTGAGCTCTCCAAGTAGCATTCTGATCCATGCTGCTTGGCATGCAGCATATGATGCAGCCACATATTCTGCTTCGCATGAAGACAAAGCCATAATGCTTTGCTTCCTCGAACTATAAGAGATTAGAGCTCCTTCGATCATGAAAATGTACCCTGCAGTACTCTTTTTTTCCATCTTGATCTCCACTGAAATCTGAGTCAGTGTATCCATGCACTTCGACCTCTGTACTGTTCTTCGATCCTTTTGGCAATAGCACATCATGATCAACAGTTCCTTTGATGTATCTCAACACCCTCTTTACTGCAATGAGATGACATTCCTGAGGCTTCTCCATAAATCTGCTTAAAAATCCTACATTTTGGCGGATATTTGGTCTAGTATTGCAAAGATACCTCAATGATCCAATGATTTGTTTACAAAAGGGTTGAACTTACAAACTCATCATTTGATTCCTTCTTCAGCTTTGCTCCAGTCTCTAATGGAGTAACAACTTCCTTACAGTTACTCATATTGAACCTCCTCAATATATCTTGAGCATACTTCATTTGATGCAAGAAAACTCCTCCTTCGATGTCTTTGAATTCCATTCCCAAGAAGTGGGAAAGATTCCCTAAATCAGACATTTCGAATTCCTGCATTAACTTTGACTTTACCTTCATTATCTCAGCTTCATCTACTTCTGTAATGAGTAAGTCATCAACGTAGAGGCATAAAATTATTTGATTGGCACTTTCGACATCATTTACATACACTCCATGTTCAGAGACACACTTTGTGAACCCTTCTTCAATTAGGAAGCTATCTATCCTTTTATTCCAAGCTCTAGGAGCTTGCTTCAAGCCATAGAGAGCCTTCCTCAATCTATAAACGTTCGACTCCTTCCCTTTGACATCGAAGCCTGGTGGTTGAGTGACATAGACTTCTTCTTTCAGAGGCCCATTCAAAAATGTTGACTTCACATCAAGTTGGTGCATTTTCCATCCACTATATGCATCTATCAAAACAACAATCCTGATTGTTTCGATCCTAGCAATAGGCGCATACACTTCATCAAAGTAGATACCTGGTTGTTGTAGAAAACCTCTGGCCACCAGTCTTGCCTTGTACTTTGCAATATCACCATCTGGCCTTCGTTTCACCTTGTAGATCCATTTCACATCAATTGGTTTCTTGTTGGTTCTTTCGATAAGTTCCCAAGTGTTGTTCTTCTTAATGGCTCTAAGTTCTTCTTTCATGGCCTCACACCAATTCGAATTGCTCAAGGCTTCTCCCAAGTCAATTGGTTCTGCTTCAGCCATCATCATGGCTTCTTCGATTAAGTCACCATCAGCATCTATTGCTTGATCTGGAAATCTCTCATATCCAGTCATCCTAGTTGACTCAGTTATCGTTCTTGTGGATCTTCTTTTGTTCTGCACAGGTGGTTCTTCATTTCGACCAGTCAAAGTATCCCCTTGTTCATTTTGACTTGTCGAAGCTTCATCTTCTTCGAACACAGTTGTGACTGTGTCTTATTCTTATCGAACTACACTTTGACTCTAATCCCATCATTTGCTTTCTTCTACAAGAACATCTCTACTGATCACTAGTTTATCTTCGATTAGTGAATATAACTTATATGCAACAGTCGAATGATAACCTCTGAGCACCATGACTTCACTTTGATCATCCAGCTTCTTTCTCAATTGTTCAAGTACATGCCTGAAACATATTGATCCAAAAGTTCTAAGATGACTTACATTTGGCTTCGACCCTATCCAAGCCTCATATGGTGTCTTTTCGACCATCTTCTTCGTTGGGCGTCTATTTAGAATGTATACTGTTGTGGAAGCTGCTTCAGCCCAAAATCTCTTAGGCATATTCTTAGCTTTCAACATACATCTGGTCATGTTCAGTACACTTCTATTCTTTCTCTCAACGATGCCATTATGCTGAGGCGTATAGGGTGCAACAACCTCATGCTCTATACCTTCCTCATTGCAAAATCTGGAAAATTTTGCTGAAGTATATTCACTACCACCATCAGTTCTTAACTTTTTCAATTTGCAGCCACTTTGTTTCTCAGCATGCAACTTGAACTTCTTGAACTGTGTGAATACCTCACTCTTC